AAGTTCGATTCTTCCATAATTCCATTTACTTCTCCATGATACTATTAAATCATGATACTATTAAAAAATTTATTGTCTGACGAAATCTGCAACTACAGATTGCGAATTTCATCGATCTCCAAAACATCGCCACTGTCGCCAAATCCGCTGCGTAAACCCAGGATTTATTGTCGGCGTAGTTTTAAGGTTTAATGAGAGCGCGATTAACTGAAGCTTCGATTTCGAGCTCATTATCTTATTATTTTATGCATTATTTCCATATATGTCGTCTTCCTTTGTTGAGTCTAAAAGATATTTCTCTAAAATTTCTACAGTAAAAGTGGTAGCTGTCTTTGCAATTTCTGGAATATTAAATTATGTCTTGCTGGTTTATGATATCTTCGTTGCATGCATTACAAGACATTTTTCCGAGATATAATACTTAAAGAGTTATGACTGGTGTATTTTAGATAATATATTGACACTTATTTTGGATGTTTATTACTGTTTTGAACTTAAAAAATACAAAATTGTTTCAGGAGACAATGCACGCAACCGAAACAGCTGTTGACGAATGTTTAAATTTTCCGATAGAATAAAATTTTCCGATAGTAGTTTTAGCAACATGGCTAATGCTTTCTCTAATTTGTATCCTGTAACTTTTCCAAAGATTCACAGTCTTTTATCTTCATTATTTTTATTCTAGACAATCATATCTCCAGTTTTTTGCAATCAAGCACCTTTATTGGCACTTCTTTTTAGGCATTTGAAATTCTTCATCTGATATTGGTAATAATTAAATAATAATTTGAATCAATATTTGCCCTTGACATAAATTAAGTCAGAGATATGTGTGTTCAAGACATGATTTGTTTGCTTTGAACAAAGCTCACTTGGTGCCTATCATGTCTCTTTATTTATTATTTTATGACAAAAAATAAGGTACACTCAACAATCATGACATGCGATATAGCAAAAACAATGAGCGTTCATCCATTGTTGCTTTTCATCTCATGGAAGCAATGACTGGGAACTGTCTGGTATTCACTCTCTTCCCGACCTGAGCATTAAAGTCACCAATAAAAAAATTGATATCATTTCTTGGACATCCACTATATTGACTTTCACAGAACGTTTTCTTTTTCTCATCTAATATTTCCTCTGTAGGAGCATGGAAACTGGTTTAAAATTTTTTCCTTTAATTCTTAATTTGCAAAGTCTTGTTGATATAGGCTTAAAATCCATAATAAGATGTTTTACAGATTTTCTTACAATAAATCCTGTACTCTTAACATGGTTTTTGGCATGGCAACTTTAGAAAATCACATAATTCTTGATTTTGAAAATTCTGCATCTCGTTTTCTGTAGCGCACATACACCAGAGTTCTATTGATGTAGTTGCTGCAGAAGCAGTAAAAGTGCTCTGCTTCGGTATAGCGACAAGACATTCCAGCTTCCAAATCTTAAGTCCAAATTACGAGCTCCAGGTCATTTTCCTAAGATATTCCAGCTAGTTTCTTCATTAGATTTCAGAATACGGATTTTTTACGGGGTGGAGTGGTCATCTCCACGCCCATCGTCCAGCCTGGAAGACCAGGATGACACTCTTTGTCTAGTGTTTCACCAATGCTATTCGGCTTGGAAGGTATTACCAATAGCAATGCTACAGCCGACATAGCTCAATGCGTCCTAAACCCACCCACAGCCGCAGGCCCACCCAACACAGTAAAGGGGTAACACCACAGTTAGGGGTTTTGTATTTAAAATATCATCGAATTATAATAACATCAGAACCACTGACTTTTCATCCGTTTTCTTAAATAAAAAAAAAGAAAGAAATCTGCAATACATTTTATGATAAACCTTATATAAAATGAATATAATATCTGGGATATTAACTGAAAATCTATCAACTTAACATCTTTAAGTTAGATACGATAATTTTAGTTTTTACTTTTTCGTGCAGAACCATGGAAAAGTTGTCTTCTGTGCAGCATTTTTAAAGTTATTTTATTTCCAACTTTTTTATTATAAGAATCACCAATTTCATTTTAAAAAATCTATTTTTCTCAGTATTTTATTATTTTTCCGAATTTCATACTGAATATAAATCTCGAAACGAAGTCAGGTGTATTTACAATATGAATAACCAGGTGAGAAAAACTTTTATTGATTAAAATTTTCTACTCTGTTATTTGTAGAGTAGATAAAAACTAATTATTTAGTATGAGAATAGCAATTAAATCAGTTAAAACATTAATTAAGTTACGATACAAAAAAAGGTGATAAAAGATGATATGGAAATTTAAATTGAGTATAAGTCGAAGTCTTAGGAAAGTCGTAAAGAAGTCGTTAGAATCTGTAGAGAGTCGTAAGTAGGTCTTAGGAAAGTCCTTATTGGAGACGTACATTTCACCTAACGACATACTTCCCGGTGGCTTTACGCCATTAGATTAAATAAAACTTTGTTAGAAGTTCATCTCTTCAAAATTAAGAATACGTGCAATCAGAATCATTTGATGTTGCTGGAAACCAACACATGATAGTCAAAATTTGCCTCAATCAAGCATTTTTTCTTCACTAATCCCTTTCGAGGAACCATAAAAAACCTATTGCAACAGTACCTACTGTAGTACCTATATATTTGGTACCTATTAAAAACAGCACCAATTACTGTTATCTAGTATTAAGCATTATTGGCGCCAATATTAGTAGGGAGATCTTTTATGGTAACTCTAAATAAATTAGCATCTTTTCTACATTAACATTACTTTTTGGAAACTAACTTATATTTCCTTATTTCGATTGGTTAACTGCGAATGACGTCATCATGCATAAGTTGGAGCATTTGCGGATTCAGGAGGCAGTCAGGTTAAACACACACGTGTGACGTCGCTTCGAGGTATCCAATTAAATCCGATTTAAATCTCATGGTTCAGCACTTCTTTTCGAGTTGCAAGTACCCAATCATCTTTGATTTTAAATTATTTAATCGTTTAAAAAGCACAGCTATAAACAAAGTAAACAAGTGGTTTCAGATAACTTTAGGAATACTAATTCGATGTTGTACTCACGCTATTCACATTAATCACTAAATTTGAAAAAAAAGTATCTAAACATAAAAGAACGTGCCATAAACTCTTAAACAGAATCGTCTGAAATTTAATTTATAACAAAGGCTGGTACTATTCGCGATCGCAACGAACTATAGGGGGCGTTGTTGTATGAGACGCATACCTGCGATTTCTATATGAACCGTCATTCAGTTACTCTGGAGACGTCTTTAATGGAGCGTGTAGCATTGCAACGTTCCTTCTTTAATGTGGCTTATTAAATTTAAAAANTTAAATCCGATTTAAATCTCATGGTTCAGCACTTCTTTTCGATTTGCAAGTACCAAATCATCTTTGATTTTAAATTATTTAATTTTACAGGAACTCGTTTAAAAAGCACAGCTATAAATAAAATAAACAAGTGGTTTCAGATAACTTTAGGAATACTAATTCGATGTTGTACTCACGCTATTCACATTAATCACTAAATTTGAAAAAAAAGTAATTAAACATAAAAGAACGTGCGATAAACTCTTAAACAGAATCGTCTGAAATTTAATTTATAACAAAGGCTGGTACTATATTAATGCGAAAAATTCATTTTACAAACATTTCTCCTAAAGGGGAGACGGTAGGGCATATACCAACAATGCTAAAACTGACCATTTTTAATGCACATTTTCTCTGCATCTAAGCAAGCTATAGCTTCAGTTTTTTTCACAGAATAATTACACATATATGTTTACACTGTTATAACTGTTAATACATATCTTTTTCAGAATTTTCTTTTAAAAAAAATTATGAACTGAAAATCAGAGAGTTTCATCATTTTTTAGAAAAAAATCTTTCGCAACTCAAAAAGTATGAAAGTATTCCTATTAAAGCTAAAGCATTATCACAGCATGCAACCGATATAATCTCAAATATCTAGAAGAAATTTAAAAAAAAGATACCATACGTATCTTCTTAGAAAAGGTATATCGAAAGAGGTCAGTTTAAACGTTATTGATACATGCTGTACCGATTCCAAAAACGAGACTAATTAAAAAATTTTAACGATTTAAAAATCAGGAACTGTAATTGTTCTTTGTAGTCGATGTCCGAATTTCAGAACCCTAGCACAAATGGTTTTACAGTTAAATATAATTTGAGCCACATATGGGTACTAATGTAAAACATGTATATTTCTGAATTTTTTACTCACCTTTTATTTTCCAAATTTTTTTCTCGCGTTTATTATTAAATAACCGCGCTTTTGTTCTTTTACTCCTAGGTCAGATTTCTGTCTAACTTCAATTTATTTATTATTGATTATATTAATATCCAAATTGTTAAATAAATTAATTATATGACTCAAGTTATATAAACTGATTAAATAATTTGAGGGCACACTAATAATTTTAAAATAATTAACGTTTTTTCTTTAGCATTTGCTTTTTTTCACTCATACATTTCTAATTTAAAACTACTCTGTTTTTTTAATTTTTTTCTCTCAAACATTCTAAAATCCCTACCAGTTAATTTCTAAATCAGCATGGCATAGAATATATATTAAGATTTTTTTGCCAGGATTATAAATAAATTAATCCAAATTAATAAAGCATACGTTATTTTTACTACTGGCAATCACACATTTTTATATCCCGAGTGTTTTAACTTGATTTTTTTTATAAGTTAAATGCATAAGCATTTGCAATGAATATTTTTATTTAACTGTTGGAAATCAGGAATAGAAAGAAAAATAAAACATTAAAATCGAACATAAAGTTCATCTAATTTTTCTTTTACAACCCTTATCATGCAATATTATATTAACATATAATATAATATTTAATATTATTTTGCAAAATAATCTATTATTTATCAATCATAACGCAAAAGCTATATAAGTAATTCTATCTGAAAATTTCCGAAAGAACCGAGATAAATATTTATAAAAATACTTTGAAATGAAAACACACATGAATATTAAATGAAAAAAATTTATCACATATCAACATAATTACATTTGTCCCGTTAACAGAGATTGTGCTTCAAGTGTCTGCATACTGGACGAGTATCAACAATTGTATCAACTCGGAATTGCACAAAATTAGACATCGCACGTGGTCTGGAGCTTCAGTAATAATAAAGAAAGTTTATGAATGATTGTGCTTAGCACTTAGCACTCTTATGGATGTTTGAGTGCTTGATATGTTGTTTCTTGATTTGGATCAATTACAGTCCTATCATACATGTTTGGTCTTGATGATTAAATAATTACATAATACTAGAATCAAGATCCAGGATTTGATGTTGAGTAGTTGTCTTCTGAGTCACTTCTGCTCTTTCAATGAATACGAGTCAAAATTTTGCTGTACATAGGGGACGTCTGTACACTTGGCAGTCATAAATTATCCTAAAAATATTTTTAAATAAGTAAATAAAAAATATGCTAAATTCCAAGGAATTAGATTACTAAATATAAGAGTTGAAACTTTAAGATTAACAGAAAAAGGAAACAGATTAACAGAAAAAATGAAATTTTTGTTTTAACAAAACCTTTTTTGCTGACAATAAAATAGTGTATATTGTTTGTAGTTTTATATTAAAAGAAAAATATTATATCGAAATGTTCAAAAAAAGTTTTTAAAAGTAACAATAACAGATAAAGGTATCAAATATTTTTGGAAAGAAACTTTTTTCAAAAATAAAATGAAGACATCTATTGTTGTTCTTTAAATTTCAATAAAACGTCGAATAAATAATTGACACGCTTATTGATTAGGACTTCCAACGCATGCAATTATGATGATCAAATCTATATAAATTTAGAAATTCTAATAATAAAAGAGTAATAGTTTATAGGCTATTCCGTTATCATTATACCATATTATCCATAAATAACAATAGCAAGATGGACAAGGAGAAAATATAATTTAATGTTTTAAGTTTTGTAACTTTTAATTTTGAAACTTTTGTGTTTAACAGCGTAGAAGCTTATTAAATGTAAATTCCAAATACATAACATATATTCTTTTCAGAAATACACGAAAATTATTTATTACGCAGTGCAGAACTTACGTTTTTGGCTTGATACTTTCAGTTTTCAGTATCCAGATGATCCTCCTCCTTTACCACCTCCGTAGCCACCGCCACCACCACTTTTTCCACCAGAGGATTTTCCACCTCCATATCCACCTCCACCTCCAGAGGAGCCACCATATCCACCTCCAGAAGAACCACCATAACCTCCGCCTCCTCCTCCTGAGGATCCTCCATATCCACCAGTTCCACCAGAAGAGCCACCATAGCCTCCGCTTCCTCCGGAAGAACCTCCGTATCCTCCTCCAGAAGATCCTCCAGAAGATCCACCATATCCTCCTCCGCCTCCAGATTTACCGCCAGCTCCACCAAGAGCCACGGTGTTTAATTTAATTCCTACAAGTGTGATACCTTGAAGTCCTCCAGAACTTCCACCTCCATACCCTCCTCCAGATTTTCCACCGGAGCTACCTCCGTAACCACCACCTCCACCTGAGCTGCCTCCGTAGCCACCGCCTCCTCCAGAGCTACCTCCATACCCACCTCCTCCTCCAGAGCTACCTCCATATCCTCCACCGCCTCCAGAACTGCCACCGTAACCAGCGCTTCCACCGGAGCTACCGCCATAACCGCCTGCTCCACCGGAGCTTCCTCCATAACCACCAGCAGATTTTCCACCTGAACTACCTCCGTATCCGCCACCTCCACCAGAGCTGCCTCCGTATCCGCCACCTCCACCAGAGCTGCCTCCGTATCCACCACCTCCCCCAGAGCTTCCTCCATATCCACCACCACCACCCGAGCTACCGCCATATCCACCACCAGAGCTACCTCCATAACCACCACCTCCTACGGCTTTTCCCCCACCAGAGCTACCTCCGTATCCACCACCTCCAGAGCTTCCACCATATCCTCCACCTCCTCCGGAGCTTCCACCATATCCTCCACCACCTCCAGAGCTTCCACCATATCCTCCACCGCCGGAGCTACCACCGTATCCTCCGCCACCAGAGCTACCTCCATATCCTCCGCCACCAGCAGATTTTCCACCACCACCTGAACTTCCACCATATCCTCCACCAGATTTAGCACCAGATCCACCTCCATAACCACCACCTTGGCCTCCGCCGTATCCACCGGAACCACCACTACCTCCTTTACCTTTACCCCCGCCTTGGCCTCCTCCATATCCACCACCTTGGCCTCCTCCGTATCCGCCGCCTTGGCCTCCTCCATATCCACCACCTTGTCCTCCTCCGTATCCACCACCTTGTCCTCCTCCATGTCCGCCACCTTGACCTCCTCCGTATCCACCACCTTGTCCTCCACCTTGAGCTCCGCCATAACCACCTCCTTGACTTCCACCATATCCTCCTTGCCCACCGCCATATCCACCTCCTGATCCTCCTTTAGCACTCTTTCCGGAACCACCATATCCGCCTCCTCCTCCGCTGCTGCCTCCAAAGCCACCGCCGCCTCCACTACTTCCTCCATATCCTCCGCCACCTCCGCTACTGCCACCATAACCTCCACCACCTCCGCTGCTGCCACCATATCCTCCACCACCTCCACTGCTGCCACCATATCCACCGCCTCCACTGCTTCCACCGTGTCCGCCGCCTCCTCCACTGCTTCCACCATATCCACCTGCTCCTCCACTGCTTCCGCCGTATCCTCCACTTCCACCACTGCTGCCACCATATCCGCCGCCTCCTCCACTGCTGCCGCCATATCCACCACCTCCACCGGATTTACCACCAGCTCCTCCTCCATAACCTCCGCTTCCACCAGCACTACCGCCATAACCACCAGAGGATCCACCCTTATCTGCAACAGCAAATGTTACTGGAACAGCTAGCAAAACAGCGTGTTTTGCTGCACCACCATCTGAGGCTCCACCGCCATACCCTCCGGCTGATGCACCACCACCATAACCACCGGCTGATGCACCTCCGCCGTAACCACCACTTGAAGCACCACCACTTGAAGCACCTCCTCCGTAACCACCACTTGCTCCGCCTGTTGATCCGCCGCCATAACCACCGGCTGATGCTCCTCCTCCATATCCACCACTGGAGGCACCACCGCCGTAACCACCGCTTGATGCTCCACCTCCGTATCCTCCATCAGCAGCTCCTCCGCCATATCCACCGGAACTGCCACCAGCATCACCGCCATATCCGCCAGCAGCAGCTACAGCACCTCCTCCATAATTGGTTGCTTCAGCAACCAAATCAGAGATGATTTTTAATTCTTCAGCTTCTTCTTTGGTAATAACAGTTGCAGCTTTTTCTTTTTTCTTGGCTGCAATGTCCCCTATCAGTAGCGCAATTGTTAGACATAAGGCTAAAATCTGGAAGAAAATTGAAATTTCGTATCAAAGTACTGGATAAAAATAATAACAGTTGACATACACTATAGGCTTTGTTTTATGTTTTAAAATAAATAAATTTGAATACATTTGTAAACAAGATAAATGAGTAAATCTCAGAATATATTCTTGAGACGGTCATCGCTTTTCATACGCATAAAAAACTTTAAGTAACATTCAAAGCAAAATTTTCTACGTCTGCTCTTGATAACAAATAAAATACAGGCAAGCACATGAAAGCAAATAATATAATTGTCAATCACTAAAACAGCTAAAAATAATTAAATATTCATGCATCTTTGAAATTCAAATAATTACAAAAATTTCTTAACGTTTAGAGTTATGCCAACGGTTTTATCATTTCAATATTTAACTGAATTTTTAGAAATATTATTGCCATCTTTTTCATGTTTTTTACCAATTTACAGCTGATCATTAATTATGCTAAGATGAAGAAAATCTCTATATTCTTATGTTTTCTTAAATAATGTTAAATTGTTTAAAAAAAAATTCAAAGAGACTCGATCAGAAATATTACAATGTTTCCACATTTTTCCCAATTTAAAAATAATCCAAAAAGTATTTTAATCTTTTGCTTACGGCGCTCAGATTCTGGTCCACTTATCGTTCTAGCCGTAAGCAAAGGTTTAAAATAAGAGAAAACACGATTTGCGAAAACAGTTTCATGATCTTTATATTTTCTTATCTTTCTTATTTTCTTAAATATATTGATCTATATATTTTCTTATAGAAAAATGTGAATGCAGTTTCATTGACCTTAACATTAAAAAACGATAAGTTAAAGATATTATAAAATATTGGAGAAACGTAAATTTATTCAAATAATGTTATTCGTACAAATTTATATTCTAATTTTTACACTTTTGTAAATATTTAACATCAAAGAAACGTTATCTTTACGCTTATCTTTTTAATGCATCCGCAAAACGATTATATCATTTGCTTAAATTTATTCTTATTTTTTAGGATAAGATATTTTAGAGTTTGCGACCTTTGTCATAAAAACTCGATTTTATGAACATTTAAATTAACTTTGAAGAAATATTTTTAAAAATGACCACATTTTTTTGGCCAGCTAAATAGGCTAACATTCAACATTGTTTAAACAAATTATGCCAACTTATACGCTCGGTATACTGTCAAAAAATTCAGTTCAACTTTGCGCCATTATATCTTTAAATTTTTTTCTGAAATCTTTATAAGGTGTTTAAATCAGCCTATTAATTAAAGTTTGATTGAACTTTCAAGTTGAACCAGGATGCGTAATCAAGTTTAAGAAGGGTTGGACAAAGGTTGAGTCAAATGTAATGCTATTATTGCTTTTTTGTTCCACGATATCTATCGGAGTTGAGTTCTTGTTTTCTATACTTTGGAACAAAATTGTTTTTTTTTTACTTATATATTAATTAAATTTTTATTTATTTATTTAAGTTCATGGTGTGGGATTGAGTTCATAAGTTATAGTAATTGTAACGATTTTCAATGAAGTGTGTTAAAAAAATTTTAAAAAAATAATTAACTTAAATTTCTTTTCAGCCTTACCACGTAGCATTATAACATTTCTTAATCATTTATTTTTTAGTATAATACTTTGACAAACTAGGTAGAAAAAGACTCTATGTAAACTTTCTGTAAATCGAGTTACCCTAGGTTTAGAAATTAAATGGTTGTTTACCAATAACGAATAACTTTAAGAAGATTCTCTGTGACGTCATCATAACGATTTTATCAAAGTTTATTTTCCCCTTTCCTGCAACAGAGCCCTCTATCAACATCAGAAACAAACTTTCAGTTAATGCTGCGAATTTGAAAAGCATGCTACAATTTATGACTTAGTATCTTTGTTAAATTTTTGTCTGCATCTGTTTATTTCATATTTATTTTCCTTTAATTTATTTTGCAATGAATATTATTATATTAATTCAATTATTATTTTATTTATTAATTTATTTCAGTTTAGGATAAATTCTACTATAAACAAAGAAAAGAAAACTCCATACGCTTAAATTTATTGAAAATCCTTTATGTAGTAATTAAAAGAAATAACATTTGTCCATATTTATACTTCTGTTATTTAAAAAGGAGTATCAGTACATACCAAACATAAGATATACTATATTCAATATAGAAATAAATTTATGAAGGCAAAAAATGGAGATAAATTCTAATATTTAATATAAATCGTAATTAACTTTAGTTGATAAAAATTGTTATGTTTTGTCTTTTTTAACTCTCCATGTGCTGAAAAAAAACACTCAATTATTTCATGGAATTGAAATTCAAACACTTAACCTGAAAGTATTAAAAATGTTAATGTAATTTTGTAATTTTTTTAATTTTAATTAAAAAAAAATACATGTGCACTAATATTCTCTGACATATATGAATAAACAAAGAAAAAAAATCGCCTTTTAAAGTTTATTGACTAAGAACTTATTGCAGCAGAATTTTTCATTGTTATTGAAAGAAGATTTTACATTTTATAGCTATTTTTTCAGTCATAGAGTAATATGGAGTTGAGTATTTTTTCATCAAAATCATACAAATCTTTAATCAAAGAGTAGCGAAATCTCAATCACAATATAATACATTAATAATCAAAAATTAATATTTTAATATAAAAATATATCTATCCACGATGTTGTATGACAGATAAGAATAAATAAATAAAAACTTCTTCCATAAAGTTTTTTAACAATGAACTTATTGCAACATATTTTATCACTGTAATTAAAATGAGATTCCACTTTCCATAAGTAAATTTTAGCATCGAAAGGATTACTTCAAATGCTTGGTTAAGTTGGAAATTCGCGAAATCTCTCTGAAATAAATTAATTAATATTTTTACTATAAATTGTATACTTATAAATCCACTGATATTCTCTAACCTATGAACAAACAATAAAAAAATTCTATAAATTTCATGTGCCAGGACCATACCTTTCAACATATAGCAACATATTTTATCACTGTTAACAAAATGAGATTCCACTTTCCATAACTAATTTTTAGCATCTCATATGATTGCTATGTTTTTTTTAAATCTTAAAATAGGCGAAATCTCAATCAAAATATGATAAATAAACTTATCAGCAAATATAATTTTAATATGAATTATCTACATCCGCGGATATCTATTGAACGGTTATGCATAAACAACAAAAAAATAGTCTATAAATTTTATGGACTATGAACTTATTGCAACATATTTCCTCATTGTTATCAAAAGAAGATTCCACTTTCGATATATTTATTTGTTTATCCTTTTTTTTTTTCGTTGATTCGTTTATTTCTGCAAGCTTCCGCGTCCCGCTGACCCATAGTCAAACCAATCCAAGCGTAACAATTTTATTCTTTGTTGACTGTTATACTTTTCCTCCATCCCCTCTTTAGAAATAAAACGATTAATGGATTAATTTTCTTTCTTTAACCTTTTGTTTCTATGAAAGCGGGTATTAGATATTCAAATCATTATTTCATTCTCTCGTTAGGATTAGAGTTCGCTCAAAAGATTTTCACATCTTTGTTTGCAAACAATGAAATGAGAATAAGAAGAATTAAATATAGAAAAAAAATTAGTCCGTATTATATCAGTTGAGAAAGTGAATAGCAATTAGACCTATTTTAGGTGATGTAATTTCAGCTCGTTGTCTGAAAGGAAACTTATTGTCTGATAGAGGTGCGGAGCGATATCTGTATTTGAATATCGTGATATATCGTTCAAAAAATTGAAATGTTACTTTACATCAGTGATAACTGTTCCAATTTAATTCATCTACATTATTTTTACAATGGTCTTTTTGTTAACCAAATTAAATTTATAAACATACATATAAATATAAAGATCGTCCTCGATAACTACCATTTTGGATAATAATGGCGATATTATCGTATTCAGTATTTTATATTGTCAGTACTAAACGCGATAGCATTGTTTCTAAAATTCAGCGTAATCAATAATAATCGTGATATTAAAGTTAATGATTATCGTATATTCTATATTTACCATAAAATATTCATGATATATTAAAGAGCTCTTTAAAATATCTTTATAACATCGTAAATTCTATATTTACCATAAAATATTCATGATATATTAAGAAGAGCTCTTTAAAATATCTTTATAACATTATTAAACTGATACTGATTTTTACCATGAATAATATCGATAAAACATTTTAATATCGATAATGTAGCTGGTAATGTATCGACATTTGTTACATCGCTTACCAGCTTTTGCTGGTAATACTTTTCAAAGTAACAGCTAGTGTTTACTTACTTACATTCGACGGTTAAAATAACATTTAAAACATTTGTTTTTCATTTAAATCTTTTTATATCTAAGCATATTTTATTAAGTTGTAAATATTTTATATTAAGTAATATCTTATTAATCAGCAATATTTTAGCAGTAAGGAGTAATTATTAAGAAATAAATGTGATACCATAATGAAAAAAAAAATCATACTTTAAATGTGCAGTTGAGAAAGTGTGTGATATTCAAATTTACCTGTTTATTGAGTTTATATTTAAAACTTTTTGTTTAAAATTGAATCAAAATATCCTATATTATCAGTAATTCACTTATAGATATTTTTTTCAAAATATTAGGCTACTCAAATTATAGCATTTTTATATAAAATTTGAATAATTACATATGTTAGTATATATTCTTTGGTTATAAATAGTTTTGCTTTGAGAAATCTGTTTGATTTCGCAGACAGGAATTGTGAATATAAGTTTTTTTTTAAATTTTGCTTTGTGTTTTTATAACGAGATATCTATCAAAATGACGCTAAAGTTCTAGAAACGAAAAGTTCAAGGCAAATGCCCCGTTTGTCCCTCCCTTACGAAGGATGTGTGATGTAAATTATTGTCAATGATATTCAAAAATGTTTATTTATGAGAGCACAGAAGAGAAACACTTTTTTCTACTTAATAGCATTTTATAATTAATTAATATTTTTTAAATCTGTTAACCTTGCAAATGAAATAGTTATAAGAAATAAAGAAATAAAAGAATATAAAGGCAAAATAATTTTAGAAAAAAGTAGAGCCAGATCAATTTTGTGCATTTCAATTATTATTTTCTTTTTTTCAATTTTATAATTTAAGTGAAGTATACTTCAAAATAACATTTAGACTCATAAAAAAGGCATACCTTTTCATCAGTTTTATTTTAAAATTGCTTTTAATATTAAACTTTTAAAAATTGCGAATACTTTCAACTAAATCAGCATTTAAAATATTATTGTGGTTTAATTTTAAGAAATAAATTCATGATATTGAATTATTTAATTATAAATAAGTACAGTTTAATATCAACTTTGTATCTTATATCTTATTATATAATCTTAATTTACTTATTATAATTTTATTATTTAACGCACGATGTATGAAATTTCAAATTAAGAGTTATAGATTTTAAAAAAGGATTTTTTTAAATTTTTCTCTTTACTTTTTCAAATTAATTCTTACTAATGTAAATTGTAATATTCTATTTGCACCCTAAAATTATACATATCACAATAAGCAAATTTATAAAATCCTTTCAAATAAATTTATAAAATTTGTTTCAGTTTTTTTTATAAAATTTTAAAATTCATTTAAAAACAAAAAGTTGTTTAAAATGTATAACATTTTATAATATAACTTCTATTGGAAGAAAAACGTGAATAAATATTGATACAAAGTATTATGAAACTAAACAATTTCTGCAGAAAACTCATTTCAAAGTATTTATGGTTAAAAAGTATTATTAACTCAAAATTTACTAACGTAGAAGTTTTAAAGATTTTAATTAAATATTTTTTAAATAAGAATATTATATTATAAAAATATTATATTTATCTAATAAAAATTTAATATTTAAAAATATTTCTGAAAATTATGCTAGCGAAAAACTTGTTACGTGTGTTAAATTAAAAAAGAAAATTTCATACATCAACATAATTACAACAATAAGATAGCTAAAATAAGAAAATTTGCTTCTCAGGAATAACTTCTTTTATTCCACTAAGAGATTTGAAGTAAATTGCATTGAAATTTAAAAGTTGATACAGATACAAAATAAACTATTGAAATAATGTTAAAAACTATGTATAAGAACATTATTAATAAAATATATAAATAAATAAAATGAATAATAAAATAAATAAAAAAAAATAATTTCCAAAAAACTCAAGGATCATGGAGGAAATCGAACAATTGTATTTCGCCGTAAGTACAAGAATGGATATTAATTTAACAAAATATACTAAAGTTTTACATTTATTTTTCTGCATTTTGCTAATTGTTTTATCGAAATGAATTTTCTTTTAAAATTATGTGCCATAACATGCTATTTGTTATCGGAATTCTAAATTCGCACTAAATTTGAAAAACTAGACTTAGTTTATATTTTAAAACTTTTTAAACTATGAAAGAATAAAGTTTGATAATTAATAATAATATTAGAAAGACCCTGATCAAATTTACACTCAATTTATGTTAGTGCCATCAAAATATTTTTACAAAATTTTATTCTATAGCTTACTATTAAAAATAGTTCGTTAAATTATGATGCGTTTAGTTTAGAAAAATGTCTTTCCAATGAAGGAAATAAAACTTACTTTACATTCGATAATTTAGATTAATATCAATTTTACTTTAAAAAAGAAATACGATCTCCATAAACATTTAACTCTCTTTAATAAAAATCTTCTTTTTAAAAATTTAATCCAAATTTGCTCTATAATCAAAATGTCTCATGAAGATTTTTAAGAAATATTAGTCATTTTTAATAATTTGCATATTCATCAGCTGCATTTTCTGACTTTTAGTATCGAATTACCTAGCAAGCATATTTCAGCCTAAATTAAGGTAATTCTTAGTATAAATTTTTTTGATATCGTTCGAAAACTATCGGTTCAAGTTTTCCAACATCCCTAACAATGTTAATTTTAATTTCAATATGCATGCCCGTGCGTTGCATTACGATAATCCTAATTTTGTAACAATGTTTTAAAATAGTCCATTAAATCCAAGGTTTGTTCGATATCCTCCAAGATGATGCACAATAGGAAGGTATAATCCTAAAGAAGTATAATCACTGAACATATCACCTACCTTCCGGGAGGCCATGTTGTGGCTATCCGCAGAAGAGAATCAGAAGAAAGTGTTTGATGACCACAACAGAGATGGACTGCCTTTATATATGACCAGGCCGAGTTGGAAGGAAAGAAAAAAAAGCCCAAGATGACGAAACATACATCTCTTCTCTTAATATTTTTTATTTTATTTCATTACACACATTTTTTTTTATTTTTTTAAGTAGCACCCTTTAGACCGCCTCCGTCAAAATTTTCGGATCGTCCCATCATCCAATGGTAAGTCCCCAATACAGGTTCCGATCCAGGTTCAAATCTAGGTTAGCAGGACCCATACTGAAGCACGCACAGTTTCGTTTTTGTTTGATGGTATTTTAGTTTCCGTTGTTATTATTTTATTTATTTTTTCTTATCCTTTTTCCTCCTCCCCCCCTACAGAAGTTAATCTTTCACCTGTCCTCTTACGTCACAAAAACCTGCTGACCCTCCCCCCTTCCTGCTTTCCCTTTTAAAACAATTCCAGTTTCCTGATGGGCAACCTGTTTTAGCGTTCGTTCTCGGATCTTCTTATCAAAAAGTTCTTTTATTCTTTTTTTTCTTCGAACGAAGCAATCTGCCCCCTTTAACCTCTCTAAAGGTCTTGCGAATGTCAGGTGGTTGTAAATTAAGGACGGCTGTTAATGTGTTGGTCAATTTTTATTTTATTTCCTGGTTTTATTTTCTATATTAAAAGGGTTTTTCACTAGGGATAAGATTTGAAACGATAACGATTCAGATAATCCGTATTTTTACTTGTCATTTGTCTTTTCTTGCGTCAGGGTTAGTTTGAATATGAATACTAATAAGGGAACAAACAGTGCTTCTTTGTGAGCGTTTTAGGTTAATACCACTTAAATTTAAGAAAACTTTTATGATGATAGTAGCTTATTTTAAATTATATTTCTTAAAGAAGTACACTTTAAATCTCATTGTGTTCAATTTATAATCTCTGAAAAAAAAATTATTTTCAACGATGGGTTTGTATGCTTAAATGATAAGTAAGAGAAAAGAATATATATAAGAATATAATAAAGCTGTTGCCTCTAAAATGTTTAAAGTAAAAATAAAAAAAAGATAATATTGCCTTTGTATTTTCTATGAAAAATGAGCCTGAAACAACTTTTAGATTTAATAAAATCACGTAAACTATTTTTCTTTAGATGCTTCTAAAGTTCTTAAAATTGCTTAATTTATTCAAATATAAAAATTTAGCAGTAAAAGAATCTGTTATTTATAGAATCGTTTGCTCAAAAAGTTGGGTTCTTTTATTTGAAAATTTTAAAATGTTTTTAACGAAGTAATGAGATAGCACAGATTGAAACACTTTGAAGTTTGTATGTAGTTGCAGAGGCTTAGTTTATAAGTTATTCGAAATGAGAAATTAACCTTAATTTTCACACAGAAAATATGAAAGCAAAGTTATGTCATATTTTTAATATTCAAAACTCTTTCTTTGAGAAAAAGTTTTGTGAAATATGCGAAAAACTTAAACAAATATTTGTAAATATTGTGACAATTTCCATTTATATTCTCTTTGATAAAAGAATTTCTTTATAACCATTAATTTATTTTAAAATAAAACTACTAAAAAAATAGCAATGATTTCAAAAATCACTAAATAAAAAAATCGTTTTCTCAAAAAATAATTTTTTCCCCAACTTTTCAGTTTTAATGAGGCATATCAAAATAGTCATAAATTATACAGTTTCGCTTGTAAATTATAAAAAATTTAAAATTAATTTTAATAGTTTCATATAAAAATTATAAAACAAAGTTTTACCATATTTTTAATTATTAGGGCGCATGAACCTAAGTTATTTAAGGTCTTGATTCTTTTTAATTCTTTGCTCCTTTGCATAAACAGAATATTATATGTTGTGCTCCTGAGAAAATTATATAATAAAATATAAAATTTCCTCCTACTACTGAAGACAATTAAATTTCAGTAAAAAAACAGTTTAATGAAATGTATAAAGAACAAATGATTTTAACAGAAATGAATTCCATTTTAATCTATAAGTAGCGAATTATTTTTTTCTTACGATAAAACCTTTTAATTTTATTTTATTTTTTAATATTGCCGAAATATTCGATTTAAAAAAAAAAGGCTTTTGAATTATCATTTTTTATAACGTAGTAGAACATCTTATCTTAAATAATAATTTAACAAAATAATTTATAATATTTTGGTAGAAAGCATGTTTAAAAAATTATTTTAATATTTTAAAACAGTAATTAACAAAAGGGAAAGAAGGCAATTGCAATAAGCACATTCTCCTATAGTTAATAATAAAAATTGTATAACATAAACTGAACATTTTTGAATGTATATGTAAACACACCACGTAAAAACCACTGTTACGTAAAAGTTTACTAAAATTAGGCAGTACTATGAAACATCATACAAAACACATCTTATAGATAAAAAAAAACACATTTTATATCATTTTAAAGGGTTTATTATTCGCAATTTGTTTTTCTTCTAAGAATAGTGCTCTGTAGAAATTGGATTTGCTTTGAACTTAACAAAATTTAAGTTTTCTGAACTTAAAATATTTTACTTTACTTAAAAATACAAACTTTGTGTACAAGTGTAATTTTTTTGTTTGTTTGTGTCTTGTATATTGTTATAATTTATGGGTTTAACTGTTTTAAGACTTAACGTAATCAGAATTGGGCGTTACAGAGAAGAAATAGCTTTCAACTTATAATACTGTTTTTCAAATTCAAATTTACAATTCTCACACAATATAAGCATTTGTTAGATATTAAATAATTTTGACAAAAGTATTTAATGCTAAAATGTAAACGGAGAAAATTACTGTATCATTAAATTGGAGTCAGCACTAATTAAAATCAGTGGATTTATAATCTTTAATTTAGTGTAACACAATTTAATACAATATGTATGCATCTGTGATTGATGAAATCAAAAACAAATTAAAAGTGTCACATAAAAACACTTTCGCCATGAATGCATTAACTTTAATTTATCAACAATAAACATATTTGAAGATATTACAATTACTATTTCAATAATTTCTTTGATTCATTCTTGTTATTGTTCTAAGAATCAAAAAGTGCAGCAAAGCATAAAAAAGTTTAACAGTTCATTCATTTAAAATGGTCTAGTCTGTTGATTTATTTGATTCACCTTTCCGCACGGTTGAGTCGGCATTAAACTTTTAAACAATCAATCTTCTTAAACACATTGCATTCCGTTCGTAATTCTTTAATTTAAAAACTCAGTTTCTGCTGACACTTCGAAACGTCAAACAATACTTCCTCTAATAAAAGAAGTGGCAGGTGTTTTTATTATTTTTAATTTGTTTCACTGTATCTAATTGTATTAATAAGGTTGTAAAAATTGTTTCTGATTTTAATTCTCTTTTGCTTTGCTTAAAATGAGAAATAAATAAAATGCAAGTTAATAATTTTATTGAAGTAGAATAATTAAATATATGCACGGAGAAAATAACTCTGGTAAAATTATCATTCTGTTTAGCAGTGACAGTTCTGGTTAAAACAAATAGATACCTAATTCTAGTTAATAAAACCAAATCATTTAAACCAATCAGTTGGTAATTTTTACGTTTATATGCTAACGGTTTGCCGAAAATTCTGGTTTTCAAACTTTTAGTTCTAATTAACACATATATATTTAAAAAATACGCAATACTCATAAGTTAATTTAATCAAATAAATGGTTTGCATGCCATGCTCTAATGTGTCATGTAAAATTACCACATTCTATTTCATTTACGAAATTTTATCGCTTATTATCAAACCATATTTTAGTATTAATTTTATCAAAATCATAGCCAGAGTATTTCGGTAAAAATTATAAGACCTTTTGGTGTCTCCAAAGAGACAGAGACACTGTAAATTTTACCATATTCTGGTAGTTTGTCATTACTTTGTATTAAATTAAGTCAAAGTATGTGAAAAATATTATTCAGCATTTTAATAACTTGTGGTTATGAAATACAACACGTTTCTACGTTAAAGGTAAAATCTTCCAAACGTGGCTTACTTCCACGAAATTTTCCAAATTTGCAGCTATATGCAATTGTTTATATCTAAGAGAAACAGTTCTTCATCATTGAAATTTCTTTTAATTTACAAAATTATTGATAAATTTTTTAATCTGAATGAACAGAAAATATTTTCGAAGTTATTCTTCTCTTGGATTTTATATCTCAGTGCAAATTTAAATTCTGATTATCTAACAGATTTTTTTTAGTAAGTTTCAGACTGTTTTTTTCTTCATAATTTAAAAATACTGAAATACATATTTGATTGCAATTAGAGCTACAGAAAAAATATGCATAAAAAGAACACCGGTGTTTCATCTGCTTCAATGGGTAAAAAGGTCCCATTTCTTTCGATCATACATTCATACCATAACCGTCAGATGGATATGGAAGGATAGATGGACTTTTAATTATGCCAATAAGTAAAAGTGAATTAAAGTGTACTTAACGTTTCGAATACTATTGCTGTGATAAACAAATATGGAACGACGTTTAATCTATTCTGCAGTTTGTAAACAATAAACAAATTTGGTCAGACTTTTACTTTATTTTGGGAATGCAATACGAAAAAGGCGTTTTTTGAATTTTATAGAATTTTTTCTGAATAACTTCAGCTAATGTAACTCTGCAACTGAAATTAGAATGGTTATTTAGAATTATATTCTTTAATGTTTTATATTTGTTAAATATAGCTTTGTTTTTGCCTAATTTAGGTGAAGATACTTTTACATTATCATACAAAGAAAAAAAATAAACAGTATTAATAAACATAAGCGTTCATTATTAAAGTATAGAACAGAAAAATGACCAATATTCAATTGTATACCAAAAGTTACAAACCTCATAGTTTTAGCACTTTATAATTTTGAAAAAAATAGATTGAAGCTTTAAATTTATCAAGTACTATTTTTACCAATCTTATAAAGTTTTTCTTTCTCACCTTTTCCGAAAGGTATATTGTGCTACCATTTTTTTCGCCGTTACAAATTTTCAGATGCTTGTTAATACCAAAAAACATCACGATGGCATCGAAAACCTAACCAAAAATACAAGTTGGTGAGAAGAAAAAAGGCCTTTAAAGTTTTAAAATTAAGTAGGGATAACTGTTTCATTACGTAACGTGTTATTAAATTTTATAAATTTGTTCATAAATCAATGACTTGAACCAATTATTTGAAAGGATGAAATAAATGAGACTAAGTAGTTGGCAA